TTCAGGACTCTTCTGCTATTCCGGACCCGGCTAACGCCTCGTCCAGAAACAGCAATAATTATTCATCCTGAGAAACTTCATTTTAGGTACCTACTTGTGACAAAAATAACTATTTTACAAAGTTACAGGATAAAATGTGTTAAAATTTGAAAAATTTATATACCGAAAATACCAACAATCATATTTATTAAAAGCTCTTACGTGAACTTCAATATCGGACTTTGCTTATAAAAACCACCGTGTATATTTACAAAAATCTCATATATGTCGCTCTATTTGTATACGCTAACAGCCAGCTATCCTATTTTATTATATTTATAACATCTTTTTATTACATAGCATTACCTTGCATTTTTTGGGATTATACCTCAATGGAGATTTACACCAGAAAGAAAAAAACAAAATCCATGGAGGTGTAATCCCAAAAAATGCAAGGTAATGCTAACAATTCACCTCAAACATACAGACATGTATTATCTCCATTACATGTTTAATAATACCCTTATAATAATTGCAGTGCAGGTATAGGATTTTCATTAGGGCACGTGAAAGGGTTGCTATTCGGTCTAAGGCATAATGCACCACGTTTAAGTGAAGTTTGGCAAAACGTACCTGCGTTTGATCCAACCGAGCTTTGCGGAAGATGCCATGGCAAAATATAGGTACCGCGTTTTAGTCTCTTTTGGCAAAACGTACCAATGTTTGGTCTTGACCAATCAGAGCAGGGAAAATGGCAATATTGACTATATAATGGTACATTCTGCTTATTTGCGACCGGTACCTGGAGGGAGCTAGTGACTTTTGTGCATTGTAACAGTAAAAACAAGGATATAACAATACATCAGTAGTCTCATCGGCGTTGCCGCTTACTGCTGCTCAAGCCTATAATAATAATATTAAAACTAAGAAAAGTTAACAGCTTTGCAAGACAACTTGAGGCTTTCCTGTTGCGGAAGATGCCATGGCAAAATATAGGTACCGCGTTTTAGTCTCTTTTGGCAAAACGTACCAATGTTTGGTCTTGACCAATCAGAGCAGGGAAAATCGCACTATTGACTATAACATATAATGGTACACTCTGCTTATTTGTGTCCCGGTCATTAAGTCTGTTTTTGAATGCGTTCTTTGTAGGAGCACTGACTATGATTTCCTGAAGCGCGTTCTACTGATAGACGCCTATTGTCAGAAAATTATTTCTGATCAGTGATCAGCTTCGAGCATCTCTCCTTATCCAGCTTCTTAGTAGGTATGGCCTCGGAGTAGCTGGTTAGTATTAAGACTGAAGATGTCCAGTTGCAATAATGAGGAGAATAATGGTGATTTAAGATTTTGTAGGTACGTCTCAATCAAGTCCCCTCTCTCTCGTTTAGCTTTTAGGGTTGTTATGTGGTATCTCAGTAGTCTTTTTTCGTATGAGGGATTTCTGATTTCAGGGGGGAATTTTGTCACTCTACACTCTACGCTGGATTCTTTCCAAGATCTCAATGTCCTTAACCAGGTATGGGCTCCAAACCGAACTCCAATTTAGGTCTGATATAGGTATATTTTATATATTTTGCTAATCATGGGGATTGATCTGTCACTAACTAAAAGCTTTTTGTATGAGGTATACAAAAGAGTTTGTCCTCTTGACAATTGAAGAAATATGGGCTTTCCGTTTTAGGTGATTTGAGAAAATTACACCTAGATTTTCCTGCTCATCAGTGACGGCCTTCACGGTATTGCCGTTTGAACTGTAAGTTTGGATTGTTAGGGCCAATGTGCAGTACATTGATGCTCCAAGCACGGCTTGCAGTGTATTTTTGTGTCATCAGCATAAAAAATTATGTTTGTCTTTATAAGAGAATGAAGATCGCTGAAGCATACCGTAAACAGCAGTGGCCCCAATACCGATAATCCCTGTGGCACCCCACTAATAAGTATGTGGTATGTGGTGTCTTCGTCAGAGTAATGCTCATTATTTGCTCTCACTCGGAAGGTTCGGTTTTGTAAAAAACTGCCTATCCATCCAAGGCGCTCACCCCTGATTCCAAAGTGTTGCAGTTTGAATAATAACCTTTTAATGCCACTTTGTCAAATGCCTTCTCATATTCTAGTTACTAACTAGTACATCCACCGGATGGCCACTGTCCACTTTTCTTCCGTCCATGAGTTTATGCAGGTGAGTAGGTTGGTTGTGGTTGAGCGTTGGGAGAGAAAACCGTGTTGGATGGGTGGGATTGGTCTTGTTTTTAACAAGAAAAGGTGTCATTTCCTGAACCATTATTTTTTCCATGATCTTGCAGAGGTTACAGGTAAGGTTAATTGGTCTGTAATTTCCAGGCTTGAGCTTGTCTCCTTTTTTGTAGATTGGCACTACGTGTATGCTCGAGATCATCCCTGTGGCATAGTTTGCTGAGTGATTAGTGACTGCAAGAGGCCAGTTATCACTGGAGCCAACGTCCTTTGGATATTTATCAAAAATATTGCCGGTATTTCATCCGGGCCGGACTAGATTCCCTTTAATCCCTTTTCAGAGTAGAGATCGCTTGAATAACCTCAGTGACATCTATGGTTGTTAATGATTCAATAGATCTAGTATTCTGCAATAGCGATGGAAAATTTACTAGGTTTTCTCTGGTGTATACCTTCAACAAAGTGATCCGCGAATGTGTTAAGCTGTCCTCTGAGGATCAGAGATAATCACTCCCGTGATTGGTTCTCTGAGCACAAGCTCGGATGCGTTGCTGTTAAATGTTCGCTTAAACATAAGTATAAAATTGTTCCTCGTCTCTGTTGTCCAAGAGACCATTTTCGTTTTCTATCCTGGCTGCTTTAATTGTGTTCTTTAAGTTGTTATTTTGAGTTCTGTACAAATTGTAATTATCTACTGCTGTTTTGTTCTTGTCGTATTTATCCCAAAGTGTTCGTTTTCTCTCGATTGCTCTAAATATTGAATTATTCAACCATGTTTTTTTTTACGGTTCATAAGCTTACGTTTGAGTGGGAGTGGGATATATGTTTCAATGGTTTCCTTCACTATGCCCTCAAATTTACTGAATTCCATATTGTCAGTATTTTTGCCTGCAAGCCTGTTATTAATATCGACATTAATGCTGTCATAGTCTGCCTTCCAGAAGTTAAGTTTAAGTACCTACTTTCCTAGTTGGCCGTTGCCAATGTATCAACTGTGCCATGGCCGTGATTACTGCATGGTCGCTCAGCCCTAGTGGTTGGTGATGTTTAATATTTGAAATCATTTTTTTGTCAGTTACCAGCAGTAAGTCCAACAAAGACGATTGAGCGTCTTGAAACCTTGTGTCTCCCGTGACTAGCTGTTTACAATTCCATTCCTTGTAGGCATCAATAAAATCCACAGCGTTAACATTGTTTTCTCTCAGTGTAAGATTTTTCCAGACAATCTCAGGAAAGTTAAAGTCTCCCCAGATAACAGCGTCTATGTTTTCCTCAAATGTTTCTTTAAGAGTGTTCAGAAGCCTCCTGTTCTGTTCCAATGTGTTATGATGTTTCCTGTATATACAGACCAGAGTAAACTTTATGTCTGCTATTTTGATATTTAGCCAAACAGCGTTAATGTCTGTGGGCGCCCTCTGTATTTGTGGTTTATGTTCGCGCAAATTTTTTGCTTGTTGATTTCACTCCAAATACAGACTGTTCTTCTTCCTCGTTGATCTTCTAGTTCATCCCTGGACATATGATATTCAGGTAGGCATATGAGTGAGTCCGGGATTCCTTTGTGAAACCCTGTCTCGGTAACCAGAATGTTGGGTTATTTCTGAGCAATTCTATCTGAAATTCATGGATTTTCAGACATTATTGGGAGTTTTTTGGCCGCCTTCAGCATTTGCCATGGCCTCTCTGGATTTGACGATCCTTGATAGGGCCCATTATGCTATAACCTTGCCTATATAATAGTAGACTCTTTGTGCTTTAGTTTGGTCATATTTTAAAAATTCTCCTGTTCCATCCATTTCCCCTCTTGAATCTGAGGACGGAAAACGCATCTACTTCCGTGTTTAAAATCACTTTGACTGGCCTAACTTTTCCTGGTGTGAATTGGCTAAGCCGAAGTGTTTTAATATCCGCGACAGGTGTATTAGGGTTCACCGACTTTATAAGATCTCCCACTGCCTTTATTTCCTTCTCCATCCTGCCTTCTTTTGTAACTGCCTTCTGCCTTACTTTCATTTAGTCCAAATATAAGCACGTTTACCTTCCTCCGCTCTCTTTCCTGTATCTCATAGATGGCAGGTTCTACTTCGGGTTGCGATGCGATATCTGAGAGAACCACAGTTGTTTTAACTTCCTTTTCAATTTTTGTTCAAGTTTTCCTTTATCGTTTTCCCTGAAAGGTATTGAAACCTCGTCCTGCGACCTGTATAATTTCAGCCTTTAATGTTGATATGTCTTCCTTATACTTTTTTTATTTCGTCGGAATGTTCTTTGTCATAATTTAGCATATTCTATTCAAAAACCTGTGAATTTCTCTGGAGTCTGCCTATTCTTTCCTTGGATCTTTTTGGTTAATTTTTTTTATCTCTTCCTGAAGTTGTTTTTTCCTTTCCTGAGCATCCGTCTCGAGACATTGACACTTATCTGAACAATAGATCCTTTGTTTTCTTAATTTTATTTCTCCTTTCCAGTCCCTATCAAAGGATTTTGGATGGAACATCCTAACACCCTTGAGCAACCAATACACGCCAAGTAAAATCAACCCATGTGCTTCTAGATGGGTACTGATCTGTATAAAATCAGTGGGTTCATATAGTGCACAAATAAACAAACCTGTTTAATTCCAATGACTGAATCCCCACGAATTCCTTCACTTCATTCCTTGTAATATTTTCTTGAAATAGTTCACAAATTTCTGCACATTTTCATACTACATGCTCGGTTTAATTCAACTGAGAAAAGCACCAAATTGGGCTTCGAAAGGTTGACCGACAACTCAAGTATTGACGGATCGTAAAGGCATGAGACAATAAATGAACGAAACAAAACTCATTCGAAATAATTTATTTACAATAATCTAATTGCAACAATATATATATAAAAAAAAATTACCTATAATCTAAAAAGTGTAAAAATCAGTTACATATATTTGTACAAAAAAACTGGGCAATCATTCATGTTTTTAATAAATACATCTGACATGCTTCTCATTCATACTGGCTTCTCTGAAATAAAAAAGCTCTATGTATATTTTTATTACAAAAAAAACCCTACTCGAATATTTTATAGCCCTTTTGGTTAACAACTGATATATTATACGATAGGGATAAAAACACATTAGTGAATTACAATAAAAAAAAAAAAATGTGAAATTATAAAAAAAAATGATATTGTTAGCCTAACAGAGGCTCATAATGACTCTAAGACGAACACATTTGAATAAAATGAATGGTTTTGAAACTAAAAATTATGCTTATGCTGATAAAATCAACAACTGAGTCTATTATGATTTATTCTGTTAGTAGAAAATTACACCAAGAGTTTTACTTGTTGGTGATATTAAAAAAAAACACATGATAAACTTAGATTCTAGAAAACTTTTTGCAAAAATCCTTATAATTGCACTTTGCTGAGATTTATCAAATGTGTGACTGATTTTGGCACTTCTATTTTTCTCTTTCGATAAATCATTTATTTTATTCGTGATGTTAAAATTTCAAGTGGGTTGCCTGTTTTCTTACAACAATTAAAAACATTAGAAAAAGTATCAACTTTCACTTGAAACCCGTGAAGTCAATACGTTGAAATTTCCAAAAATTCCTAAGAATCAACTTTACTTATCGGCTCTAAATGAATTGTTGATTGTTGAAGGAACAAACCTACTGACTCTCAAAGGCGTTCAGTTCACAAGCACTTGTCTATCTTTTTGGCAAGATATCTTTGCACTTGCAGGAAAAACTTCGGATATACTTTTCTTCCAAAATAACGCCTAACTAATTAAATAATAACTCGCAGCTGCTTTTGTGTAAACCAAAAACATATCTCTAGATAAATTGTCAACAAAACAGCTGAATCTGATTAATTGGTTGATATCATCTTAACTAATATATTAATGGAAATTGCAAACTGTGAAGCGGCCTTAAAAAAATTGAAGGAATAAGTGCAGGCAACAAACAAGTGCTGAAAAGCGCGCAAGACAAGCATAGTGAAAAAAAAAATGTATTATTACTAGATACTATTGACGATACAAATGCATTTTGTGCTTTCGATGTTTCAAACAATATTGTCTTAAAAATTATATACATACAAGTATTAAAAATGCAATTTTAAATCTTTTTAAAACTCCAGCGTTAAATATTTTTAAAATACTTATTGACTTTGTTCAAGAATTAAAACAAATCACAGACAAATAATTAAAATCAACCACAAAAAGATGGAAGAAATTTGGACAATAAAACATTTTAAAATATAAAAAAAATACAAACAATGCAAAACTACTGATTTTAAAACAGCTCCCAATACTACAAATCATCAACGTTAGTTTTTTGGGTTAGTTTCACATCTTGGTGCCTAGTGCTTAAACATCAGTACCGGAAGTTCCCATTTCGTTTATTTGAGGAATTTTTTAAAGCTAAATTTTTGTACAAAGGCTTTTTTTTATTTTTCGCGCCAACGTGTGTGTATTCCTAAAAAAGTGAACTTGCTTGAAGCTGCTGGGCGGATTTTTTTTCTAGGAGACGGCAGCACGCTTACCCTGGCAGATTTTCTATGTGCGACTCTAGAATCACTGGTACTAAGCCATATATGGTTACTGAAAAAAAAAAAATCAGAACAATAATAATGAGTTATAAAGAAAATATATGTACAGGGTGTCCGAATTTGGATGGTTTTAATAGGAAACATCAATTTCTGAGCAAGATACAAAAAAATGAACCCCCCACTCCGAGGCTCAAATTTCTTGAAATTTTGATTGGTGCAAACCGCATTTTGATATCTTCAACCGTTTAGGGCGATTCTCGATTTTGAGAAATAATGTGAAACCATCATAACTTTTTTGTTTATGAAAATTATTGATTTCCGTAAAAACTTTCTAGAAGCACTTTTTAAAGCAGAATTCAGTGACGTTCTCAGTTTTTTTCTAGTTGGTCCCAACTCCGAGATATTGACCAAAGTCTGTTTTTTTTCAATAGGACACTCTATATATTAATAGCTCATTAGAAAGCTCGGCTTTTTCTGATTTCAATGATAAAAGTTCGATAGGTTTATCTCTAATAGTTTTCGAGAAAAAAAATTATTTCGGTTTTTGTCATAAGAAGCAATGTGTAAGAAAAGGACTTTATATCTGTAAGGAAACTGAGAAAGGTCTCTTTCTAACTCATTGTTTCTTATGACAAAAGCCGAAATATTTTTTTTCTCAAAAACTGTTAGAGATAAACCTATCGAAATTTGTATCATTGAAATCAGCAAAAGCAGAGCTTTCTAATGAACTATTAATATATAGGGTGTCCCATTGAAAAAAATCGTATTTTGGTCAATATCTTGAAATCGAGGCCGAATAGAAAAAAACTGAAAACGTCACTGAATTCTGCTTGAAAAAGTGCTTCTAGGAAGTTTTTACGGAAATCAGTTATTTTCATAAACAAAAAAGTTATGAAGATTTCACAGTATTGCTCAAAATCGAGAATCGCCCTCTAGCGGCTAAACGGTTGAAGATATCAAAATGCGGTTTGCACCAATCAAAATTTCAAGAAATCTGAGTCTCGGAGTGGGGGGTTCATTTTTTTGTATCTCGCTCAGAAATTGACGTTTCCTATTAAAACCATCCAAATTCGGACACCCTGTACAGAGTGTTTCCTTATATTTTGACCCCTACCTACAGCTTTAGCTATACGAAGTGGAAAAAAACTTTAAATATGAATGTTGTAGGGTTTTATGTCTTTTATCTTTTGTGAATGTCAAAACTGGGAAATGACAGGTGCCAACTTTCACAATGATAAACACTTGCATTTTTCAAATGGAACACCCTGTATATTTTTGGCTAGAATGATAGATTTTTTTCTTCTGATTCCAAATGTACTATACAGGGTGTCCCACGGTGGATGGCGTATTAGACGTTTATGGAGAACTAAAAAGCGGATCATTTTGAAAATTTGGCAACCGGGATAAACGACCATGATCTACACTTTAAAAATATTTTTGACCATGCGGTGTTGCCGCTTCTACTCTAAACTAGTGGCAACATCGCTATTTTAAATAGAACACTCTGTATGTGATTGCATATTTGGATTCTACGTAAAATTCTGAGCAGATTTCATGTGATATACCCTATACCTAAGTTCAACTGTTTTGGAAATATTGATAGTTGAAAATTGACTTTTTGCAACTTTGACAGGCTGTAAAACCTAATTGGTTAATTTTAGATTTCACATTCCTATCTTAGATTTTGATAAACTATCATTTGACACCAACTTTGAACTTAACCGGAGATTAAATTTAACTGAAATTTTTAATCATGGATTTAATTCAAACTTGGTGTCAAATGATAGTGTATGAAAATCTAAGATAGGAATGTAAAATCGGTTTTCCTCTAAAATTAACCGTTCAGGTTTTACAGCCTGTCAAAGTTGCAAAAAGTCAATTTTCAACTGTCAATATTTCCAAAACAGTTGAACTTAGGTATAGGGTATATCACATGAATTCTGCTCAGAATTTTACGTGGAATCTAAATATGCAATCACATACGGGGTGTTCCATTTAAAATAATGATGTGGCCACTAGTTTAGAGTAGAAGCGGCAACACCACATAGTCAAAAATATTTTTAAAGTGTAAATCATGGTCGTTTATCCCGGTTGCCAAATTTTCAAAATGATCCGCTTTTTAGTTCTCCATAAACGTCTAATACGCCATCCACCGTGGGACACCCTGTATATGTTGATATTTGGTACAGTTGTTTTTACGCTATTTAATTTTAAAATTGCATTGAGCAAGCCTCATCATTGATATAAGAAACCCAGAAAGATTAAAATAAGGGTAACGTAAATGCATTTTTAAACTTGAATAGCGTAAAAACAGCTGAACCAAATATCAACATACTTATATGGTATATTTGGAATCAGAAAAAAAAAATCTATCATTCTAGCCAAAAATATATAGGGTTTTTGTGCAGAAAAAAATATCACTCTGTAGTTTTTATACGAATTTTATTGATTATTCAGATAGACACACTAAAAATACAACATTTTTGTCTCTTGAATTTTTCAATTATCTCACTTCTTCCTAAGCATTGTTATTTTTATTTTTTCTTATGGAGTTCAGAGACGCGCCGAGGCATAGTATTGTAATTTTTCCGCGAAAACGAAGTGAGATACTAGAAAAAGCCAGAAGACAATAATGTTGTATTTTTAGTGGGTTTATCTGAATAATTGATAAAAATCGTACAAAAGCTACAAGGTGATATTTTTTTCTGCAAAAAAAACAACCGACTTGGTCGCTGGGTACGCGCCTAGAAATTCTGGAACAAATCTAACTGTTCCAGTAGATGTCTGATAACGGTTTAAATAAACCGTGAAAATTTCATTGAAATCGGCCAAAGCTCTTTTGGGTTATTAATAAAAATGGAAACAAAGCGTTTCCGGACCTATATCCATGAGAACTTTTTTACTTATTTTCATAAATAGTATATGGTCTTGAAGTTTGTAACATCTTTTCGGAAACACCCTGTATAGAGCAGCACATTTTTAGCTCCGTTGACAATTTCCATATTGAAGAAGTTTATTGAAGCACACTGAAGAAAGAGTTGTTTTATTACTACCACAAGTTTCCTCAATAGGTTATGGGCCCAGGAAGCTCAAATTTGTGGTAGTAATCTGAAGATTTTTTTGTGTTTCTGTATTTACAGTGGAAACAAGCACGGAGGCTCCCACACTGAGTGAGTTAAACAATTCCAACTTAAACAGTGTGATTTTTTAAGTGTGCAACATATAGGGATTTTTTTAGCTTCCTATGATAGCCCGATTTTGACCATGTCAAAATTTCATTAGATCTTGACGTTTTGGATCATTTTAAGCCTTTTTGGCAAGGTGGCACATTTCCGTCCGTGTGTTGGCATTTTTCTGAGAAAACAGCTCGATGGAATTTGATGAAATTTTGGAAAAAGGTATAAGAAGACGTGTAGGGAAAAGTTACGCAGAGATATAGGAAAAAAAATAATTCCTCTTCAAGATATGACGTTATTGATCTTTTTTTTAAATGGGAACGCCATCTTTTTTTTCATTGATTGGTTAGAGCTCATTTTGCTTTATATAATATAAAAAAAAAATTATATTGAAACCTGAAAAAATGTCAAGATCTATTAAAATTAATTCATGGTTTGAAATGACACTAATTAATGACAATGACAATCATTAATTAGGTAGTTATTTGTCTAGGAAGCGTTATGTCAAAAATTTGACATCTGGTTTAGTAATAGGACAACCCAAATTCAAACAAGGCCAAAAGTTGGTGCATGTCTGATAATCATATTAGGTGCACTTAGAATGGTTGCAAGTCAAACAGCATACAGGGTAGCTCAAACAATATCAAAGCTGTACTGTAAAGTACCCTTATTTTAGAAAATTCAGCAAAATGTTATAGAGAAGAGTTGTTTGGAATTAAAAGTTATGCCTAAATACCAAAACATAGCCTCCTAAGATTTTTTTTATTTTGGTTTAAAGTCAACCCCCATGTTCTGAACCTTGTGTTCAAAAATTCCAAAAAAAATATGTTTTATGGTTATTGATATACTTTAATCCATAATTTTTTTAAGCAAATTTGACTCGCCATTTTTGAGTTATATTGCAAAAACTGAAAAAAAAAGTGGTTTTTCACCATTTATTTCAAAACGAATAGATGAAGTTTCCCGTTATTTTTATTACGAACTACTACTGCAATTCTACGCGACATATATTTTTTTCAAATTTTTTGAACTTGTAGTTTTCTCGCTACTGCAAGAATAGTTGGAAATACGCCTGTAGCTACACTGTTTAAAAAAAAATCGGACTGATGAACGTTCAAAATTATTTGTGTTGGTCCAAACTACAACCCTGTTTATGTAAAACAGAATAATACGTCGAATTTCCGCAAAAAAAAGAAAAAACTTTCCATCACATAATTTAATCAAATGCAGATTTCTATTTTTTTTTGACTATCAAGTTAGGGCACACTATAGGGGCGACAGTACTGACATCTCGCGTTGCTGTAATAAACTATCGGCCTGACTTAAACCTTAATACTTTCAAAAATTAATTAAAATCAAATCAATTTTACATAACTTTGTTTAAATTCAAGCATATTTGTAAAATTAAGTTAGATTTTTAATTTTTTATGGAATCACAAAATTCATGTTTGTTGCAATGATATTCAACACAACTTTAAAATGTCGCAACTTTTTTTTTTTAACAAGTTAAAACATTACTCATGAGAATAGCCATATTAAAAAAACTCTCCTTAAAGTGCAAAAGTTTTATTTTATTTAAGTAAATATTAGTAGAATTTTGATTTTTTTTGAGCCACCCTGTATTCTGTTTGACTTGCAACCATTCTAAGTGCACCTAATATGATTATCAGACATGCACCAACTTTTGGCATTGTTTGTATTTCGATTGTGCTATTACAAAAAAAAATCCCATATGTTGCACACTTAAGTAATGACACTGAATATTTGGAAGTTTCAGGTGAGAGTTGTGGTGATGTGCTGATAGCAAAAAAACTTTACGAGATCACCTATGGAAATGAAGTAGGTCCAGTTGGCGATGCTGATAAATTAGTCAAAT